AAAGATTTATTTATTTTATTTTATATATAGAGAGAGCCTGAGTGGGAGGGACAGAGGGAGAGGGAGAGAGAATCTCAAGCAGACTGTGTGTGGACTGCCGAGCCCGATACAGGACTTGATCTTGAGACCCTGAGATCACAACCTGGGCTGAAACCAAGAGTTTGATGCTTAACTGTCTGTGCCACCCAGGTACCCTGAACTTTGTCATTTTTAAAAGCGTGGTTTAGAAGGTCAAAGTCAAAGCCCCAGAGGAATCAATTCAGAAAATTTGTGATATGTGTGTAGTACCAGCATCAGGAAGAAATCATATTGGTGAAACTAATACTTTTCCTCATCTTGACTTGATAAGGACTCCAGGAGATGAGGAGGGGAGGAGGCATGGTAGTGAGAGCAACGGTCTGAATAGGGTGCATATCCCTGATGTAGGGAGCCTGAGTCTATCCATCAGCCAAGTCTTTGGGGAGGAGCATGAGAAGACTCCCTAGATATATTGTAGAAATCTGAGAATAACGGAGAGTCCCTTGTGTAGAACCTGGGGATATTAGAAGTCCCCAGTGTCATTACAGAGTAAAAACAGAGAGGTGATGCCCAAAGACAATGGGAAATCCCAAGGGAAGGATGGATCTGAGGCAGCTCATCATGTCTCCCTGAATACCAAGTAAGTAAAGCAGCAAGAGCTTTCTGTTCCTCACTAGGGAATTTCACTGAGAGAAAGTCTTTCAAGCTGGAGTTGTGCAGGAGAGAAAAGGAGGCTTCAGTGAGCACAAAAGTATGCTTGGAACGGAGTTTTGTATTTTGATCTCAAGTCCATCCTCGGCAGTAGGTGGGGCACTGCAGCTACTCTCTGGAGCTGAGGTAACCGTTAGGCTGTGATACACCTTCCAGCAGCTTCAGGATTCACCTGTGATTAGTTTTGTAGTGTAACTACATAATCATAAGCTATTAACTCCTATTCTTCTGTAAATATTTTGAAGACCTTATTAACCTGCTCAACACACACTCATGGGTTCATGGAAATGCTTGTCACACATCTGGCTCACTCCTCTCTCACCTAAACCCCACATACTCTTAGCAGTTGATTAGTGCAAAAGAAACCTATAGATTAAAGTAACTCTATATCACTTCAACAAGCTTAATTTTTCAAAAGCTCTGTTTTCACCATTAACATTTTTTTAATGCCACACAAACCTACCTCACTTCATTTTTTAAGAGATTTATTTATTTATTTCAGAGAGAAAGTGGGGTGGGGGGGAGATTCTGTGCTCAGTCTGGAGCCTAATGAGGGGCTCAATCTCACAACTCTGAGATCATGACCTGAGGCAAAACTGAGAGTCAGAAACTCAACTGACTGCATCACCCAGGTGTCCTAACCTTATTTCATTTTAATCCTTGTATTATCACTGTGAGTAAATTTATAGAGCCTGTTGCACATATAGAGAAAATGTAGCTTAGTGATTGTATTGGCCAAGATTCTCTAGAGAAATAGATCCAGTTATATATTATATATTATATATAATTATTATATATATTTATATATAAATATATATATATTTATTATAAGGAATAGGTGCATGTGACTATGGAGACTGAGAAATCCCAAGATCTGCAGCTGGCAAGCTGGACACCCAAGAGAGCTGATGTGTAGTTCTAGTTTCAAAACTAGCAGGCTCAAGACCTAAGAAGAGCTGATTTACATTTCAAATCTGAAGGCCAAGGGGAAAAACAATGTTCCAGCTCAAGGCTCTCAGGCAAGAGGAGTTCACTCTTACTTGGCCTTTTAGTTCTATTCAGACTTTCAATTGACTGGATGAGATGCACCTACATTAAGGAGAACGACCTCTTTTCTGACTCTATAGATATCAAATAATCATCCAGGGATATTCTCATCCAGGGATATTCTCAGACAGGGAGAATTAATCTCATCCAGGGATATTCTCACAGACAACCCAGATGTTTGGACAGCCTATGGCCTGATGATGTTGATGCATAAAGTGAATCATCAGAGGGAGTTTAAAAGCTTGTGATCATACAGCTAGATGGTGGTGGGAATTAGAATTTAATCCTGATCTGTAAAATGGAAAAGTCTTGGGTTTTAATAACTATGCTACATTATTAGTATTTCCCTTCATATCCAGTCAGATATCAGGATCTTCCTTTGCAATCCTTCTTGCTTCTTTTACATTTCTACAACTGTCCCCATTTAGGGCCTCTTTATCTCATGCCCAGAAATGATCTGCACACTGGTAACCCTTCTTCCAGCCTACCCCTCAATTCCACTTGTCAAGTACATCTCTTTCAAAGTGACCAGACTAATTTTATTAAACACATTTTTGCTGTGTCACTTGCTTGCTCAACAGTCTCCATGATTCCCCCAACATTATGGATAAAACGTGAACACCTCAACCTGGATGGTAAGGCTCTTGTGTCATGGCTTCACATTTCCAGCTCTGACTCTACCTGCACAGGTGATGGAGTTGCCTTTTACATGGAACAGAGATTTTAATGTCTAAAGTGTAAAGCAAAAATTACAGGTGGTCAAAATTGCCCTTGAAAATCTCAAATTTTTCTATAAGCTATAGTATACATAGTTTTATATTTATAATGAATTTTAAAATTTATAGCAAGTAATTCTCTTTTTTAAAAAAATATTTTATGTATTTATTCATGAGAGAAATAGAGAGAGAGAGGCAAAGACAGGTAGAGGGAGAAGCAGGCTCCTTGCAGGGAGCCCAGTGGGGACTCGATCCAGGACCCCAGGACCATGACCTGAGCCGAAGGCAGATGCTCAACCACTGGAGCCACCTACGTGCCCCTATAGCAAGTAATTCTTATGTGTACTAACATTTGACACACCCTGACCTAGACTAAAAGGATGAACTAAAGAAGAGTCCATAACAGAAGTTTGGGTGTGCCAACAAATGTGCTTTAAGATCGTTATAGTGAATTGGGTATCAGTGGAGAATTCTGAAGTGTTCCTACTTGCTTCATGGGTGTATTCAATTCGTTAGATTGTTCAGTCTCTCTAACATTAATAAATGTTAAAGATTTGTTTGTTACTATGAATATTAAATGAGATAGTGTGTGTGTGGTGTCTCTTTGTGTGTTGTGGGGAGATAAGGCTGAGGGGAGAAGGAGGGCCTTTCTAAAGACATCTGAAAGTGAAATGTACTTAGGACATGACCCCATTCTGCTGCTTTATTTTAGTTAGTTATATTTGTGTGCAGATAATATATATCTATATCCTTTTTCAATTGCTCAAGGGTACAGGGCTGTAATGTTTGGTGCTATCTCATGACCCTCCTGATTCCTGTGAATCTGTCTGCCCATAAGAAAGTATTCTGACTATGGCATGGACTAGACATTTCAAAGGAGACATTAATAGTGGGATTTCTGCTTCAATAGACAAACATTCAGAAGCGATATCCTGGGATTTTCCAGAAACTCTGCATCTGTAATCTCAAACTTGCTCATATTTTTTACCATCAGAAGTCATTGACCACATTTCATCTTTCCTTCTCATCAGCTGACAAATATTAGCACACCTCATCATTTCCTTATTTTTTAAAAAAAGATTTTATTTATTTATTCATGAGAGACACACAGAGACAGAGGGAAAAGCAGGCTCCCTGTGGGCAGCCTGATGCGGAGCTCAATCCCAGGACCCCAGGATCAATAAACTGAGTCAAAGGCAGACACTCAACCACTGAGCTACCCAGGCACCCCTCATCGTTTTCTTTTTGATGATAAGGAAATCTATCTAACTAAATAGTTTGACAAATATTTTTTGAGTATTGTCTTAATAATAATTTAGATACTTTAAGAGAATTATCTTAATAAGGTAGGAGGAAATCCTGGGATGATATTAACATTACTTAAGGAAGATAGAGCATTGTTTTATTTTTTAATTTAATTTAATTTAATTTTTTTTTAAAGCATGGTTTTAGTTTCAATTAAATGCTAGTTAGCAAAGGTACTTTGTGCTACAAAAAAAGCTCAGGACTAGAGACATTCTGCTTCTTACTCTGCCACTAACTTACTAAGAGACCTCAGGAACATCATCCACTCCCCTTTACCTTTAATTTTTCAGCTTTCATGGAGGAATTAGGAGTTCTGCAAGAATCTTTCCCATTGTTATGTTCTGTTGATGCCACACATTCATTAACAAGTGCAGCAGATGGTAGAGTGTATCCTTTGCATATCTCAAATTCAGAGAATAACTGGCATTGTTCTTGGGAAGGCAGTGGAAGAGGATGCTATGTCTTCATATGCTTTTTTTTTTTTAGAGCATTGGAATGTCTATATCACAGTGTTGGCAGGATTGATAATATAGTACAGGTCTAAATGGAATTATATATGTGAGTAATCTTATGAATATATGCACAAAGTGGAGTGTGTGGTGTGTGTGTATGAGATGAATTTCTGGATTTTGACTCATTCCTCCAGTTACCTCCAGCTGAGGAAGATTAACCTATATTTTGCTGTTTTAGTTCATCCAAAACACATTGAACACAATAAAATGAGAGTTAGAGCCTCTGCTCCTGTCCTTGGCTCTGGGCTGAAAATGGCCCCATGAGAATGGATAAAATAACCATCCTGAGTTTATCTTTAGAGTCCCTGAATGATACCTTCTTGTTCAATATAAACAAGCCTTTTGCTCAAACTCCTATGTCTTTTCTTGTGTTCTTCTATCTTTGGCTTCAAGAAATAAAGGGAATGAAAAGAGAATAAGGATATGAAAGGGCCAGAGGTGATATCCTGACATAAGTTCCATTTACAAAAAGAGTTCATTCAGGAATTTAAAAAAAAAGTATCAGACACAAGGCAATTCATGACTAAGTCAACTATTCATTTGAAGAAGGAAAATGTGAGTAAAATAGAATTTTATTTTATTTTATTTTATTTTGCTCTATACCAAAAAGTTGATCTAATACACCCATCTACATGGAAGTTTGTGGAAACACCTGGACTCAAGAAGGTGACTTCGAGCCCATGTCCTGAGGTGTTATAGGCAGGTGAGTGGCAGTTGCAGGTATTATGCTGACCCGTTCTGTCAAAGTCTCTTTAGGATGCTCTAGCTTGGCCATGAATGGCCACAGCTCTTGGAAACATGCTGAATAGAATTTTATTTTTAAGATAAAGAGTATTCATGTTCAGAGAGAGGTTTAGAATTTTAAGGAGCTTTACACTTAATTTGTACACTATTTTTAAAGTGATAAATAAGAAAGGGGCTATTTTATAAAAGTAATCTAATATTTGAGAATGCCTTATAATGTGCTTCAGCTGAAGTTTAGCCATCTTATATTCAAATCTGCAAATATAAGGGAAAGTTAAAATCTAAATTTGAAGGAAAATTATTTTCTAAAATGAAGTTTGGATAGTAATTTAGCTGTGCTAACCCTTTCCTTCTCTTTAAAGCATGAATCTGCTCATTGTACTTTTGAGTTGGAAAAGAAAATCATTTCACTTCTTACTCATATTTATTGTATTTTTTCAATATTAAAACAATACAACTTTCAAAATGCCAAGATGTACAAAGAAGCATTGCACCCAAATAGTTAGAAAGTATGTATGAGATACTAAAACATCAACTGTTAGGCAACTGTTTTATTTCTCCAGTGTTAAATATCTGTTTCTTGAAACATCTAAATGTTTCTTGGCATGCTGAAAAAAATTGCTATTGGTGGAAGGATATTTTATGTTGTATCTGAATGCATTAGGGTGGCTTCTGTGTAGGATCAGGATTGAAAGACAGTGCTGTGATAATGAGGTTTCATCTCTGAACACAGAAGTCAGAAGGGCTTTCTAGTTGTTTTGAGATCATTAGAAACACTTTGACAATCAAGCACATATATCCCTTTATCAACGTCTTGCTTTTCCCAGTCAACTCATTCTTCTACTCCTTATCCCACAGCCCCAGCCCCAACCCAAACACACACTTAAATTTGCTCTCACTAGTGGGCTTTAACTGAGAAAGTTGATTGAGAAGGCTATCAAGTTCTCCCTATTGGTGTACAGGATCCATTTTAATTCTAAAGAAGAAAACTGCTGGGTGTCAACGATACTCACTAGGAAGCTTCCCAGGGGTAGGAGGATGGTATCGAATTTACTGGGATGCCATCACCAGGAAAAGACTATGAAACCACCTGGGCTCCTCCAGAATTCACTTCGGTGAGCCAGCTGGGCAACCTGTAAAATACTCTCCTGCAGGTAGCTGCCTACAGGAAACTCATTAGGAATGAATTTCACTGGGCATCCTTACTGCCAGCCCAGTGCAACTGCAACAGGAAAAATGAACACACCAGAACCAAGGAGGACACAACCTTCCTCCTCCAGGGTCCCTCATCTGTCCTGTATGGACAAAATCAACATTGTGCCAACTGGCAAGGGAGAAATGTTTCAGTATCACAAGCAGGCAATGAAGGTGGATTTGGAACTGGACAGCAATGAGCTAATAACAAGCACATTCCTCCTTGTTATAGGTACTGAAATCAGATTTGAATATAGTGGGATCAAAGAAAAATAAATCAGAAACCAGGATCATGTAGCCTTACAGTGTTTTTCAAAAGATCAGTTCAATCTTCACTGCTTCTGGGATTTAGGCTATAAGATGTTTATACATTCTTTGTATCTTTGGATATAAGATATTATCAACCAAAGGACAAACCACTGATGGCCGTCATGATAGAAAATCAATGCCACTTAGACTATGACATGTCATTGATTAGAATTTGCATCCTAGTTTCTGAGATGTTAAAATGTAAAATAAGATCTTAGGAGTTTGATTGTCTTAGGATCAATAAAATACAACTTGAAAACATTAAGCTTTGGTAGTAACCTCAGCAAAATTGTCCCTCATCTCCCCTTTTCCTTGCCCTTCTACTTATTCAAATCTTAATAATCTTTCTATATGTAGCATCTCTCCCAACTACCTCCATGAAGACTTTGATACTTTGTATTCCACTCTTCCCATTCCCTATAAAGTTGTCTTCTGAGTATACTTAATTATATTGACTCATATTATCCCCTAATTGTTTCATGCATATTAGACTCATCTCCCCACCTCCATTGTAAATTCTTGAGGAAGCTTGTTTGCAATTTTTATACATCTGTATGAAAAGTTTGATTGATGCGATCAATGACTTTGGTCAGCAAGGGAGAAACATTCTCATTCTGTTGATTAAAAATAAGTCACCCAATCATGTCAGTATTTGTGAAGTTTCCTATTTCTACTTGACTTCATACTTCAAGATGGGGTTGGTTGAGAATTTTGGTAATCATGAATATTTACAATTAGTTTGCATAGGAACTGAACTTTGGTTCATATTTTCAAAGGAAAAGCCAGAGCATGGTAGTATAAGATGAACGTACATTTGAACTTGGGCTGAATTGAGTGGCTCCTTTAGATCTTCCACAAACATATTTGCTCAAGTCTCTGGAATGTATATTGTTACCTTGGAAATCAATTCAAGCTCATTGCATCTTCCTTTGCCTGAGATCTAGGTCAAAGGTAATTTTAATCGGCCAGCAGGTGCTACTTGACACCAAGGTCATTTCAAGCATCTCTATTAGAAAAGACATTTCCAAAGGCAGGGAAAGGAACTGATATGTGGCTTTTCCCACTAGAGAAATTACTTGCAATAAGTCACATTGGAGGGTAACATATTTAAAAGGATATCCTTTTGTAAGAACAGATTTCAAGCACTTGCAGTGGTGACAGAGGGGAAGGTTGTTTGCAATTTAATTTTCTTCTATAAGAGTACAGCTTAAAATCTGACAACTATTCATAAACCTTATAAAAGGTCTTTTGGACAGCAAAGGATAGTAAGGGAGCAAAAGAGGAAGAAAAAAATCATCAAGTTTTTCACCTCAGTAGTGAATTAATCCCTTGACTTACTTTCTTGCAGAGGCAGGCCATAACTCTGGGGTACAGTAGTATTCCTCTGTTGTTCTCATATTTTCCTCATTGAATGTGTTGTTAATAAGAGTGGTGAATTTGAAGATTTGGGAGTGGGTCTTGTATTGCACCCATAATTTCATTAGGCCCTCCTTCTTGCTAACCATGCCATCGGCAGACCTATCTATTTGCTGAGTAATGAGAGTTACGAAGAATAAGCACTTCTAATGCCATTTTGATTCCTTTAGCCTGGGGATTTTTTTAAAAAAAATAGGTATGTGAATAAGCTTTATTAGAGTTCAATTTTGGGAATAGAAGATTAAGTAAGGATGGTTACCAAAGCAAAAATGATCCCTTCGTTTCATTCTTACTTGATTTACTTGAAAACCTTAACCTTGAAAATTTAAAAGGTTGTTGGAAGAAGACTTTGGATTGGGATAAAGCTCATTTAAAAATGTTTTCCAGGTCATTTATTCTAGTTCATCAACATTTTATTTATTTTTTAAAATTGTGTTTATATTCTGGGTCACAAGGTGGCAAGGGCTGTAATTCTTGTGAAATGCAATAGATCTTTGAGCCATTATTGACATTTTAGCTAGTATAACAAACTAAGAGGCCAGCCTCATCATCTTTTTATCCCTGAGATGGCCAAAGTCTGACACCTATGGGACCATTCTCCATTCATAATGTCTTCACATAAGAGATACCAGATATTACTGTATTTTCCCTCAATGCTTGGGTGCAGACTCAGGGTCTTTCTCAGCACAGAGCCCCAGGAAGCCACTCCTGAGCTATGGGAACTGGCTGGCAAGATGACACTTGTTAACTATCTTTGTAGTATATAGTGAGACATTGTAAGTGGGGGTGGTAGTAGTGGCCATTGTCAACACTTCCAAGTTTATAATGTACTTTCACAGATATTCTTACATTTGATGAAACCATTATCTAAATAAGGTACAAATGAAGAACTGAAATATGTATACTTTGCTTAAATTTACTCAAACCTAGGACTTCATTTTTTTTTTCATTTTTGCACATTTCTCTGATACTTTTAGAAACAGACATGAAGCAGTCTTTCCCAGAGCTGCATTTTCAGATCCCTCCATAGTAGGTTGGATAAAGAAGGGGGAAATGTCTGAAAAAAAAAATAGAACCAGTATGTCTCCTCTTCACTGCTCCTGAACATGTATTTGATCCACACCAAGTGAAAATCGCTTGAAGAAACAACACAGCCTATCAAAGAGGTCACTGAACAAATTGGTGGGATGTAGAAATGTCAGGACATATTGGAGACTTTCAAGAATTGAGAGCCAAAAAGTATTTACCTCTTTCAGTTTGTTTGAATATATGGGGGCAATAGCTATGTTCAGTGGCCGGCAAGAAAGAGCCAGAATCAGAAGCTCTGGACTGCAGGACTACCTCTACTTCTCACCAACCTGTCTCAGAATTGGTAGGTTGTAATACATAGAAGTGGATATAATTCCTAACTCACATTATCCAACAAAACAAATTTGGCTAAAGAAGAAAACTTTGTAAGTTCTAAATTGCCATGATAATGCTAATTGTGGTCATTACTTTGTGGTATTTTTGGCAGCATCAATAAATGATGGTTTTCTGCTCTATATTCCGTCTCTTGCAAATTCTCAAAAGCTAATAAAAATACTGCTTCTACTGCCTCAAGATCTGGTATCAGTTCAAATGCAGTGTCATCTAAATTTATTTGAGAAAAAATATTTTTTCCTGTTAATTTCTCATTTTCAAAGAAAGGCAAATGGTTCTTTTTCCAGCCTACCCTCTCCTCAAAAAAAAAAAAAAAACCCCCAAAAGTTCCTAAATACATCATTTATGCTGACTCATGTATCAAGTGGTGGCCCTAAAACATCTTCATTCAGATTAATGGTGCCTGCAGTGTTTTCTCCAAGAACAGTTGCTTGGATAAATAATCCATACTTCCAGAGAGCTGGCTTAGAACAAACTCACAGCAAGTCTCAAAGAAATTTGTACTTTTGAATATGGAAAACTTTATTGCTTTGAATGACAGGCTTTTAAAGTTTCTACAGATTAAGATTTCATACCCTGAATATTTCAGTTTTGAGTAGAATATTCTGATACTTAGACTCTTATCTTTCTTGTACTTTCATATCATCCACTTTACTAAGTTAGAAAGGTTGACCTTAATTTATACCCTTTTATATAAACAAACCCAATGTGGAGAACAT